TTGCTTGTCTTTGTTTTTTGGACTTAGACTGGGCGAGGCCATGATAACCATGGATGTCCCTGTAAAGATGACAATGAAAATGTTAATGGAACCATGATAACTCCATATGATAACTCCATCATGCATTGTGAGTTGTAGAAGGTAGAAGTAACTAAACGTGTTTTTTTGTTGTTGTCAGCTTTTATCATTTCTCAAATTTACCAGCTAAACAGGTTTGTGTTGTGTGTTTTTTTTCTGTTGTGGTTGTACATCTGTTTGCACAACATCATTGCAACCACAACAACAACAAAATAATACTAAACGGGGCTAGGTGCAAAAATAACAGTCCCACGCCTCCACAAGATTAACCATCAACGAATGCAGGGAAAGGTTCATAAATGAAAACAGACCGAAATCCAACTAATTACCACAATTCGCCAATAATATGCTAGGAAGAATTTGAAAACATGTCGTGATATCGCTAATTAAATCGATTTATTGTTTGTTAATATCTATTTTTTAAAATTAAAGCTCGGTTTTTTGCGTAGTTTAAGTCACGGAATTGATTTGCCAAATCTTTTAATTTCATCATCATACTGCATCTGCTCCGAATATATTCAATTGATAATGTAAGTTATAGTCTGTCACTGTCTCCCATTATTATTAGTCTTCAAGGTATGCCAGCTCGATCGAGCAATTGCCAGAAAAGAACTCCCTGGAATTTCTTTTATTACAATTTACAAAATGTAAAACCAAAACTTCAATGAGAAAAGGAATTAAGAAGGGGAAATTCAGAGCCCATACAGTTGAAAATTTCTTGAGTTTGACCCAAAGAAGAAGGGGAAATCCACGTGTACACATATACTTGCATGATCTACAAACACAGCTGGACATGCAGACGTGGCACCATGCACATCTCTCCACGTCGGTCGCGGAAAACCGCTTCGCCTCTTTGTTTATTGCTATCACTCGGGGAAACGAATAATGGCGAAGAGGATTCAGCGTTGGAAAGACCGGGAAAATAAAAGGGTATTCAACAAAATGCTGGAAATGTTTATTCTAAAAAATCCTTTTTTGTTGTGTAATTTATTACTAAAAATTAGAGAGCAACAGCAATGCAGGGCTTGCTTACAATCGACGGTCAATTAAACCAGCTACGTACTTTTTCAAGATAGATAGATATTTCCCAATCTCTACGACTAGTCTAGTCTCGAGGGGAAAAAAACAAATTCAACCAACTGAGAAATTAATTTAGTTTTATTTTCCATCCAATTGCGACAAATAAAATAGATAAAAAGAAAAATGAGTGTCCCCTTTCGTACAAAATAATATACATAGTGAGACCAGAAGAGATGGGGAAAAAAAGAGGCGACTTTGTCGGCATCCCAAATTGCCACAACTTGCTCTGCCCGGCGGCCACCGTATGCCATTCATATTTATTAATTATTACGGCATTATCATAATCACATTAATGGCTTCCTTGACAAAAGTGGCCATATACCAATCCCCAAAGTGTCACAATTTTTCATTGTGTTTGAACTAGGCAATTATAGTGGCATAGCGAGAATTTAATTTAATAGGGTGACATAAATTAAATATTAAAATTTTATATTTAATGTATTCAACCAAATAATTATTCGCAAATTCAATCTACTTGATGTGAAAGGTTGGTCAATCTTTTCACTGCATAAAATGTTATCAACTTGTGCACTGACAACTAACAGTAGCAAATCTAATCATTTTTCACAAGCAAATACATTGACGAGAACAAATTTTCTCTTCCAATAATCGTTATCATATATAAAAATTTAATGAATTCCACTAATAGTTTTCCCTTCTTAGTTCTTATCCACATTGATAAACTAGAATGTAAAAATGTAAAAAAATAGTAGATTAAAATAATTTATATAGTTCGTTATGGTTTGATGATAGAACATTTGACGATTGACATTGACATTAAAGATTCAAATATCATTGTTAACACACTAATATTATTAATATTTTGTGAATTTCTCCAAATTTAAGGGGATGCCATGGAATCCTCTTCCTTGCCCCTAGATCCGTCCCTGCGGGTGGCTATCTAAATATTAATATTTATTATGTGACAGGTCGGATGTAGGTAAGGTATTACGTTCTGAGGTTGAGACAGGTGGACTCATATGTGTATATATTGTAACGGAAAAACACTTGATACATTGATTTTCCATGAAAAAATTTGACAAGTAAAATATAAGATGATCAGTGTAGTTAAATTATTTAAGAAATTGAGGATCTCATTAATTTACAACTTTATTATAGCTAAAGTATGATGTAATCAAAGTAAAATCTTAAGTAATTTCTGGAAATTTACATATAATATACACAATAACGGGTCAAGAATTGGACAGGCCAGGGTGGGTCAGGTCGAGGAAGTACAAATGCACGTCTTGCCCCGCCGACGAGATGATATTACCCGCTCCAAAACAGGTCGAATAAGACTGATCATATCAAAATTGTGATCCCTAATTTGAACGTACTCATAAGGTTGTATGATTATTGAATTACACACTGGACGCTTTATGATTGTTGAATGGAAGTGTTGATAACCATTCAAAAGTCGCGATACATCCGAAGTATAATTTGATAATTAGACATATTGTAACAATATTTTTGTATGTGACATTCATCGCATATTATTTTACTCGTATATCGTAATTGGGTTAAATTTTTCACATCATAGCTAAGATGTCATCCATCATATATCGTATAGTATTTTACTCATTTTCAGTCTCATCTTTCTTTCCTTAATTTGGTCTTTCGTCATTCAATTGTGAGGTTATATGAATATTGTGCTTCTATATTTTGCATTTTGCTCCATTGTGGAGAAAGATGATGGCAAGGCAAGGCAAGGCAAGGAAGGATGCGTGAAAGTAAATTCTTGCATTGTTTTGTTAATAATGTGACCTACAAAATGTGACCTACAAAATGTGAATGTTAGTGCAAGTAGCACGACTTCCTTTTTTGCGTCAATGGTATCAATCAGTTTGACTTTATTATTAAAGGAGCTAGCTATATTTATGAAACAAGGTATGTTCAATCCTTCTATAATTTTGTTGGATGCGGTTTGACTTTATTTTGTATTTGATGTTACAGAAAGATCAAAATACAGGGACAATAAATGCAATGTTCATCTTAAATTTTTGGTTATATGTATATATGCTAGTTTCCGATCAATAAGTATTTTGGAGCATAGAGAACAAATTCATGCGAACAGTTCAACTAATTGTTTTTGTAGTTATATTCGTTGTGGTTTTGTAGTTGTAGGACTACAACTCTGTACGGAAATTTTACAACTCAAGTTAGCAACTTATAGTATAATGCAAACTCCATATATATATAGGTAGGGAAGGCAAAAAGAACTCAATATTTGGGTACTATAAGCACAAACTTAACTTACTATGGGTCGAATTAAGTTTGTAATTTTACTTTTGATTCTCACCCACACCTTATTGGGTTTTTTTAGTATAAAATTGTACCCACGTTATTGGAAGTTCAAAAGAAAATGAGTATCTAACTAGAATGCAATTTTTATATTACTTTTTTAGTTATGAAACAAATAGAAAGGTGGAATGCAAACACCTACATGAAAAGTATATAATTGGTTTGGAGGTAGTTAATGAAAGGATTGGTATTGTTTTTTTTTTAGAATATCATCTAGACTCATTTAGACTTACTTCAGTCTAGCCAAAATGAACTGATCCAAATAGGATCCAATTTAAACCCAACTCAAACCCAAAAACATCGAAAGTGCATACTGTGTCCATCTGAATCTGACCCAATACCCATACAGATCATGCCAATTACATCAAATTACCCAGCAAACCGACTTATTACCATGTTTCTACCTGTACATGGGCGCTGGGCTGTGCTTGGGCCGGCACGACACAGGCAGGCTTCGGGTCCATTTATTTCGTGTCGTGTTTGGCACGGCCCATCAGTTTTCGTGTCGTGCCATGCAAGCCCATTTGTTAACTTTGCTAGGCTCGGACAGGGTTCGAATCGTGTCGTGCCTATTCGTGCTCGTGCCATGCTCGTATTCGTGTTTAATGAAAAGGACGAAAACAAAAGAGAGAATGAAAAAGAAGGTGAAAATTGGACGGGGGAAGATAGTATTAACCGATAATGTTTGAGAAAAGTAACAAATAAGGGGGAAAAGAAAATTGAAAGTATAGCGAGTGTGATTTGACTTTGTTTAATTCTTTGTCCATTTTTACTTATGTTAGTAATTACGTATATATCTTTATGACACTTCTAACAACAACAAATTAAATAATTATTTTTCTACTTGTATTTTGTAATATTTGAACCTATAATTCTTTTTATATTTAATTTCTATCTAATAAATATTATTTTCGTGCCATGTCCGTTCTTATACTCAATAAAGTCTCGAAAATATTAGGTCCGACATGACCCACTTATATACCGTGTCATGCCCATGCCCATGAAATTTAGACCCGACACGGCCCATAAATTATCCATGCTCGTGCCGGGCTGGCCCATTTATTTCGTACATGTGATCGTGCCGTACTAGCCTATGGGCGGCACGACCCGGTGCCCACATACATTTCTACCTATATCTCTACCTATAGAATTAGCAGTCCCCAAACACAATTGGAATACAAATCATAATCTTTTTGCCCCCCTTAACCTAAGTCAATCTTTGCATGCCCTTAATTACACCCTCTTAATTCTCATCCATCTAACTCCCAATATTCACCCACCCTAGCTATTACACATCTATCCATCCATCCATCAATAATCCAACTACACCAATAATAGTAATTACCCCCAACCCTCCCCTCTTTGACCCTCCAAAACAATCCCCATCTTGAACCCCACCCCACCCTCCTACACCTCTCTCCCACCACCCTACTAATTTATTCACAACAATGAAAACAAAGAAATTAAGCCACCCTACAATATTTTCACACTAGCCAATCCAATCCAATCCCCATGTTCACACCCACCTTCCCCTCAATACCCCTAAACCATTAATATAAATAACACCTAAAACCCAGCCGCCTTCCTCCCCCCAATTCCAATAACACCAACCAATTTCCTCTCTCTCTCTCTCTCTCTAGCTAAACCTTCCCTCCTTGTACAATATGGAGAGCTCACCGGCCGGCGGGAAGTACTCGACCCAAGCCATGATGGACGGCGTCGAACGGCCGAGCCCGAGCCATGCCAATATTCATAACCACAAGGGGCTGCGGACCGGCGAGCTGGCTCTGAGAGCCGGCGCCCTGTTGCTGACCTTGGCCGCCGCCATCGTGCTCGGGATCAACAAACAGACCAAAACGGTGCCGGTTCAGATCATCAGCACCATGCCTCCGGTCAACGTCCCCGTCTCCGCCAAGTGGCACTACCTCTCCGCCTTCACGTAAGTCCTCATCTCCGCCGCATCGTATCGGAGGTTATACCGAAAGAGTCATTAACATAGTATATCGTACAAAAATCATGGTTTAGTATTTTTCTACCGTTAAAACTTCCTATATATCGGTATGAGTTCGTTATTCGGTATTTTCATTCAGACTGTGAGAGGGTTGTAAAACATTAGTTTTGAGCAAAGACGGTAAAATTGTACATGATTTGCACCGAAAAAGTTAGTAATATGATATTTTATGTTGATTGGATCGTTCCCTCCTGCTAAAAATCGTATATCAATTCAGATTTTGATAGAAATTTTTCTCGTTCGAACGGCTGGTATACGATAGGATTTGTAAACATTAATTTTGGACTTTTGTGTTCTAGTTAATTCTTTGGTCCCTCAATTATCGACTGGAATGCAAAATTACGTTTTGGTCACCGGATTATCTTTTTATCATGTAATTGATTTGTGGTGGTGGTGACTGGTGTGGGTTCAGGTTTTTCGTGGTGTGCAACGCGATAGCCTGCGCGTACGCTTTCTTCTCCCTCCTGCTGGCCTTGGTGGGGAGGAAGGGAACCGCGGCGGCGACCGTGATCCTCGACCTGCTGACGGTGGCGCTGCTGTTCGCCGGGAACGGGGCGGCGACGGCGGTGGGGCTGATCGGGTACAAGGGGAACACGCACGTGCGGTGGAACAAGGTGTGCAACGTGTTCGACAGGTTCTGCCACCAGGTGGCGGCGGCGCTGGGGCTGTCGCTGGTCGGGTCCGTGCTCTTCGTGCTGCTCGTCCTGGTCGCCGTCGTGCGGCTTCACCGGAAGTATTGAGTGTTGACTGTTGACTGAGCTGATGAAAACGTGGTGCTCTTTTTTTTTTTTTTTGCGTATTTGTTGTTGGATTTTTTTTTTAATTTTGAAATTCTAGTCTTTGTAATTTGTATCTGTAATTGTGTGAAGAAATTAAATTCGTTTGATAGCCGATGATAATTTTTAGTTTTTTTTCTTCCAATCAAGGTTGTCAACCCGCGGGTTGACCCGCGGGTCGACCCACTTTGACCCTGACCCGGTGAGAAAAACGGGCCGCACGCACCCGCCGGGTCGATCGCGACAAGGTACCGGGTTGGAGGTCAAATTGTGTCATTTTTTTCTTTGGTTTGCGAAATGCGCCTATTTTCCGATTTTTCTTTTCGCCTAGCTCAATTTTTGGAATGATAAGTTAAACATTTGAATATTTATGTTATATAAGTGTGTGTGAATTTTCACTATATGTTGTATCTATATACGATATGTTATTTTGGTGTAATATTATATGTTATAACTCATATGTTAGATAAGATTTGATATAATTTATGAGGATAAGTACAATATAATGACTTTTTCCATATTTTCGGGCCAAACCGGGCTAAAACGGTTGACCCATTAACCCTTGATCCATTAGCTCGACCGGGTCCGGGTCAACCCGCGGGTTGACAACCTTGCTTCCAATTAATGTTACAATTGTTTCTAGCCCTTTTCTGATGTCTGAAATGCTGAATCTCTCTCTCCCTCTCTTCTACATCTGATCTAATATGATTCGAGGTGAAAGATGCAACAGGTTTTCATGATTGAACGTAAATTTCGAAACAAAAAAGCTAATAAATTCGTCTGGTCATTTTCTAATATTTTTACTAGATTTTAACACGTACATTGTAATTTCATAGGGTTGCAAAGACGATTTCATAGTAGATTTTCTTTTTAAAAGATTTAAGACGTCATTTGGATTTCAACATTAATATTCCAAAATTTCTTTTAAAACTCTATCTGAACTTATTAATAATCCAGATTAGGACACTCGGATCGAGTTTTTAAAACATTGTATTTCGATGGCAACCCCCTAAACAAAGGGAAATAATGGATATGCAAAGATCATTGACCTTGGGGAGGATAGGCTGTAGGTGGCATTCAATGTCCAAACGAAAGATTTGAGTAAATGATATGGTTGCATGATTGCTTATACTGTATTTGTTTTTCTGATTTTCTCCTTTTGTTTTTTCCTCTTCTTTTGAATGAAAACAACGTCTCCACGTCCATCGCACTCCGCCAGCCAGCAACTAAACATAAATGCACTCTGATCTTCAACCTCGGAATGAGGAGGTCGAAATATTAAGAAACTACACCTAATTTTTGCAATAAATAGCGAATTAAGCCCAACCCAAATGTTGACCCAAAATCCAAAGAAAGAGGAGGCCCACTGAGCTAGTTGGGCCGGCGTCTTTATTCAGAGGCTCAAGCTTCTTTTTCAGAAATCATTGAATTGGAGTGAATGCTACCCTCCAGGAAGAAACTAAAACAGGCGGCCAAACTACAAGATTGGTAATACTGCCCTAACTGAAAAGAATACATGGGGATATAGGTCTCAGTATACAGAATGGTTCGCAGTCTGATCCTGGAAATATAGCAGCAGCAGCAGCAGCAGCAGCAGCCCACGTCGATTTAGATTCAGGAGCTCCAAGGCCAACTCAGGTCTCCTTTTTCGAATTCTGGTCTCGATTGAGATCTCCTGGAACTTTGTTGCGGCTTCACTGTAGCATTTCTTCCTTGCTGGTTAGGTTCTCTAGATCTACACTCACCTCTAAACCTGTGTTTAGTAGGGCGCTGATCATGGCTGGGATGTCGGACTTCAATGCAGCTGCTAGTTCCTGCATTGACATCCAACAGACTTAAGGGCAAAGACTAAGTGCGTTTGAAATTCACGTACACAAGCTACAACGCCGAGTAAATGACAAATACCTTTCTTTTGTCTTCCGATTGGTGCTTCACTACATCCAACGGCCACTCGCTAGCTAACTTCTGGAGTTCAACCATGATGCCCGACTTCTTGGTTTCAGGTAAGGTCTGCAAGTGGAGCACAAACTTCAAAGGTTGAGTCCAAATGGTGTGATTTTCTTCTTTGATTTTCCTTTATTGATTCTTGACAAACAATTTCATGAACATATGTCCATCGACCAGGTACCTCATTTAAGACTTGAATGATCGAGGCAGCTTCCTGGGGTTTACGTCCTAGTATCAGACCCTGAAAATTTAGCTTCAGTTAAAACTTGAAAAGCATACTGAACTCTAAGCCTTCCACCCTCTTCCTCTTGTTTCTCCCCTACGGGGATGTCCAAAAGGCACAGTAATTTCAAGAAAGATAACAGTGCATACAAAAACCTTGTATATTTGATTACCTTAGCACAAGAGAACCCAGTGACAAGGCTGAGCTGCTTCATTGACTTAGATCGCAGCTTTTCAATGTCCCACAGTGCTTCTGTATCCCCTATTTTGCACAAGCATCATAAAGACCTTGTCAGCGAAGTAACTTGAATTGAAGCATGATAGACATCAAAGGAGGTTAATATAAGTTGTTGCTATTCATGGAATGGCTTCTACACCATACATGAGCTTGTAAATATCAGATGATATTGTACAGAAACAATCTAAAGTAAGAATCCAGATACATCCATACCAGTGACCTATTACAACATAAACACCAGCAACTACCCGTTCTTTTCTCTCAAAAGGCAATAATTGATTCCCAAGGCAGAACACTAGGACTAATACGGAACAACAACAGGAGAATCGAGAGTTTTGTGTGCACCTTTTTTGGCAGCAAGATCCATCGATGCATCAAAAGCAGCTGTTCGTAGTTGAACTCCAGCCTTGACAAACTTCTTCAAGTATTTTGCCATCAACTCCAAATTACCCACGTTGTTACAGATGCTGTGAATACCAATCCCATATGAAATAGCAAAAATCAACAATGAAGAAAGCATCAAAGCAAAATCACACCAGAATGCCTTAAATACAATTCAGAGAGTGCCATGTCTATAAGCAACAGAAGGACACAGTTTGAACAGTTGAGTCGTCACACCTGAAAACAATATCTGCTGTACTGGGTTGTAGTGGCACGTCGTTCTTTTTCAAGAGCCCCATTATTTCAACCATTAGTTTCACATCATCGTGAACCTTAGCATTTTTCTGCAGCATAGGAGCATGGTTAAACACGAAGATCAGCAATAAGCACCCCAACAAGAAAAGGTTATCGAAGTCAGATAATAATCTACCAGTAAATGATTGGCAGATGCAACACTAGGAGTCAATCCATACACATTATGTTTCCAAAGGGTCTTCTTTCCTGCAGATTGTGGACTACTCAGTCATGTAGACACAACAGACATACACTACAAACTGATAAATCGAAGAAACAAACTTAAAATAAACTTCAATTCGGAAATTAAGAACATAACTTCAATCGAATAAGACACATACCAAAGTCAATGGCCCCTGCTCGAGCACAAGCCTTGGCAACCTCCCGGCAGAGATTGCAATTGAAATTATCATGAATTCGGAGATTGGAAAGGCGCTGCAACCAAAAATCATCTCATCAGTATCAAATTCTCGCAACAAAACGAGCAAATGAAGCTTTGATTCAGGGAAAAATGCACTAACAAATCTCCGGATATTCTCCAAACAATCAAACAGAAGCTCAATATCTTTGTGGCTTTCACATTTCTCAATCAGCGACCACAACCAGGCGTTGGGAGACATCGTCCTCTTAGTATTGACCGACTCGAGAATCTTCTCGTGAAACTCTTTCACGGCCTCTGGGATTCATGGCAGCACAAAACCAGGGGTAAAAGAGATTTCCCTATACAGCCTCTCAAAGCCGTCAAACAGAAGAATAAGGAAATTGCACAGGATAGATCAAGAAACCTGTAGGAGCGATTTCGGCGTTATTCGATTCCGTCGAGAAATGAGCCTTCGCGGTGTAATGGCCTTGAACAAAATTGGAATCGAGTTTCAGCATCTCAAATGGAGGGGAAAACAAGTAGCAAGAGCGGGTAGTGGAAGGGTACCAGGGAAACGAACGGAAGAGAAGGTGGCGTCGTGCAGTTGGTGTAGCCATGGGAGACAAGCCGCCTGCGGAGCAGCGAGGATCCAGGACTCGGAGGAAAAGTTCCGGCAGCCGGCTGCGGAGTTGAGGAGAACCGAAGACTTCAAGAGACGAGCGAACTGACGGCCGCCGGAGAAGACTTTCATGGCTTCGAATCTGACTCTGGCGACGGCGGGTGGAGAGACGGGAAATTAGTTCCGGCAGGAAGACGAACGACGTCGAGTGCTGAGCTAACTGAGAGACTTGCGTTACGATTAGGGTTTACGAAGAGAGTGGTGGACTAATTATGAATTAATTGCCTGTAGTGGCGGACCAGGATTGTCCTCTGCACCACCAACGGTCATTTTGTAATTTGTCACTGATGTTTCCAGGATTTTCAATTAAGTCCTCCAACATCTCCAAATACTAGTGGCGGACCAGGATTGTCCTCTGCACCACCAACGGTCATTTTGTAATTTGTCACTGATGTTTCCAGGATTTTCAATTAAGTCCTCCAACATCTCCAAATACTTCTCTTTTTTCTTCTGATTTCATATCGAATGTGAATTTGGTAGTGATCCATATCCATTATTCCACAATTTGCATTCTTATAACATTCACAAGGCTGATACTGCGATGAGTGTGCAACGAGTTGATCCATACCGTACCATATTAAAACTTGACTACTTGATGAATCCCGTATCGAAACAAGAACTTGATTCATTTTTCATGTTGCTTCTGTATAAGAGTTTATACATGGAACCCATAAACATACAGTTCAACTAGACTGGGCAACAATCAATCAAAACACTCCACAATCTGGAGATGGAAAGAACTAATGGCCTGGCAAGAAACCAAGTTTCTGTGGTGCAGGGAATGAAGTTCGAGCAAACTTCAATGGTACAACAACAAGAAGAAAATTCACATCCGAAAACCACAATGGTACAGCAACCAATTTGGTTTCCAAGACAGAAATGGTTGATTACAACAACAATATCATCCTTCTTATCTCAATCTCCCTGGCCCTCGCTTCCAACTAATCCATCATTGCTGCGGAAGAACAGGAGGTCTAATGGTTCTCGTGTTATATGACTTGCAGTGGCTGCACTTCTGTCCAATTATGTGGAAGTTGACCTCTGTAGTGTCGTTGCAGTCATTGCATAGGATCCAAACCTGGTGACAGAAAAAGATCCCGATGTTCATTTTCATAACCGGCTCAATCGGCAGAAAGATGGAGATCAAGTGAAAGTAAATCGGTCCCACCTTTTTGTTTCGGTAGTCCTCTGGCATGACTGTTGCTTCGATCTGCAGATAGCAAGAGAGAAGTCTTCTCAAGAACTAGCCGTAATGAAATACGATTGAGCTGGGGATATTATGACACTCACCTCCTCGTCTATGTTTTTCCAAGCCTTGGACATGTCAATGACTGACTTTGAACATATTGGACAACAGTATCTGCCATAGAAGATGATGAATCATATAATATCCTAAACCCAGAAACGAGATGGGCAACAACTGAACTGAAGTGGGGGAGGGGGACAGATGCTTACTTGTCGTGCCTCATCATTTCATCGCGACATTCACGGTGCATTGTGTGCCCACATAACATTACTATAGTCTCCTTCATGGAGTCAAATAAGTACTACATAAACCGGATACATGGCAGCATTCAGTAATGGCAGAAACAACATATAACTCATGTATATCAGTTGGAAGAGTTTCTGTCGCATGCCAACCTCGTAGCATATTGGGCAATGGTGGCGCATTGAGTTCTCCACGCACGAGTGATTGTCTCGGAGGGAAATCGAATAGCAAGAACCTGAGCAATTCAGTGGAGATTATCAGACATAACATTCACCAGCAAAGAGAGGTCCCAACAGTGCAGAGAAAAGGAAAGGTGATGGTGAAAATCCAAGATTCAGAAGTAAAACAGCATACCGCACTTCTTGCAGTGGTAGAAGTTCTCACGACCACCAACTCTGTAACAGTTGAAAGCGAATTACTGGATGAGCATCTTGGTATATGCATACGTGATACTTCCTATGGAATATGGAATGGGAAAGAATAGATGAGAGAATGAGAGTGGAGAAATGAAACTAGGCCAACCTGCAGATACCACAATCATCACAGTGAAACTGCCCTTTCTCGATCTGCAGCAGTTCAATCAGGACATTAATCAATACCGCAGATCACCACATGCATATATGTATATGGCGAATTAGGACGAACTAGATCAAGAATAAGGATTTACATCATCATCGAAGAATTTGCATATTCCACAGAAGTATTCCCCCATGTTGACACCACAATTTGTACAAACTTGGGCAACCTGAAACATAAGTGAAAAGCATTGGAATACTGATCCGAATCCATAATTTGAAGAAACAAAAAGCTCTGAATTCAGAGAGTCCAGGAACAAGTACCGGCTGCTCTGTGTCACAAACTTCACATACAACCTGGAATATAAACAATTCAGCAAATGATAACTCACTCAGTCATTCCACCAATTTGATCCAAAATCAATCAAAAAGATAAAGAGTTTCAAAAAAATCCACATACTTGCTTGACATCACACCGATCTAGCTCGTGGTGATCACAGGGGTTCTTCAACATGCTCTAAGTAAATCAAAGCAAAGGGAACAAATTACAACCTAATAACCAGCACCCGAGTAAACATACGTGCTTCCAACAGAAATTTGAACAATACAAAGGTAATAGGAAATAGAGAAACTGGAAATAATTGCAGGCTAAATCCAGAAATGCAAGGGAAGAACCAAGCATCCCATTACACAAGATTATTCGAGAGCAAAGAAACAAGAACTGGAGAAAGAAAGGATCATAAATACCGTAGCCTCGTTGTGGCAATGGCGGCAGGAGAAAATTTCATTGCAGCAAGGTGCTCGAATCTTGCATCTCCTCCTGTAATGCTCGCATCTGCAAAAGATGAACAAACAAAGACTCCCATCAGAACCCAAGGCATGCGTCTAGCAGACCTGACCGAATTAATGGGAAGATTGTGAAGAAATGTTACCCATAACCCATCTTCCCAAACCCAAGGCGTTCATTGGACGGAGCGGCGCCCTCCATGAGCTTTGGGAAGAGATGGATTACTGGAAAACAGAGCGAGCCAGAGATGGGGGAAGAACAGAGAACCAGAAAAAGGAAGGTGCCCTAAACCAGTTTCCTGAAAAGGGAAGAAAGAAGGAAGGATTGGGATTTGGTTTTGGTATTGGTCAGTCCTTTAAAGAATCCTCCCCCTCCAAAAAAAGAGGTAAAGGAGACGACCCATCATAGAAATTCGGGATAATTTATAAAAATAAAGCTAAAAGCCACCATCTTTCCTCACAGAGCTCTCAGTGAAATGAATACCTGAATATTATAATACAAAACATAGATGGATATAGATCATAGATCAAATCAACCCAACCCCATTTGGCCACTTGGTAGAGAGAAGATAAGGTGGTGGTGTGGGGTTTGTCAGTGACGGCTTTGCTTCTGCGGTTCTGCCCGCGTGGGCGAGATGACTTGTAATTAAAGACAGGCGGGCGCCCTGTTCGGAGTAAATTGGTTCAGACATTTTCACAAACAGTTTGCCTGCCTTCATCGGATAAAAGCTCTTCCCTCAATGAATACAACAACGGGAATGAATCTAACCCAGTGTCGATTCCGAACAGTCCAAAAACGAGACCTGCCGGCGGCGACGCCGTGGTTATGTGAAAGACTACTCGATAAGTTGCTGGATTTTGAATATTACAGGTAGCAAGAAAATGGAGGAAATGATAGTGGCGTGTTTCTTCGTCAAACTCTCACCTTCTCATCCAATCTCATGGCCGAACTGATCAACAGTCTTATCATGTGGGGAAAATGGAATCCTAGCTTGTTTGCTCTGAATTCTGATAATTTTGCACCCGCCAGAAAAAAACCGAACACATTGTTGTCTGGTTCGCCATCCCGATTTGATGAAAGTGACCATATCGATCTTTTGTAGAATGCTTTTTCTTTTTCATGGCATCATTTGTAGAATGCTTTGCATGGAAATTACAGGAAAATGAATGTGAGATTTTTTAGTACAAAATTCTATCTATCTATCTATGGCAACAACTATGGTACCGCCACTGCATCAATGCCGCCATTGTATTAGCCGTGAGATAAACCACATTAAATCATGACCTTTGATTCAGACCCACCACTTAACCCGAACAGGTTGAATCTAGTACCTTTTGAAGAAATCTAAATTGCGGAATTGATAACACGGAATTTTACGTGGTATCCCTGTTCTAGTTGAACAAGACTAATCCACGGTGAGCTCGGAACGAGCTCACGGCTGATGATATTATTGATGATTTGTTTCTTCTCTAGCTTGCTTGCAACAATGATCCGCAGCTAAGCTTTTATAATGACTAGCTTAGGGCAAAGCCTAAGGACGGCCGAGTGCCTTTTCATTGGCAAACTCAAGACCCAATACAACTATGACTCTTAATTCAAGTCCAACAATGACTCGGTTACTTGGGGACTAAGAAACAAGTAACCTCAACACTCCCCCTCAAGCGAAGGCGTGAATGTCAAGCATGCCAAGCTTGGAACGAAGATGCAAGAAATGATCCACACTAAGACCTTTAGTGAATAGGTCTGCAGGCTGTTCGTGAGTTGCAATCTTCAGAGGGGCCACGTCACGTGATAAAACACGTTCGCGAACGAAATAGCAATCCATTTCTACATGCTTGGTGCGCTCATGGAACACCGGATTAGCAGCAATGTGAAGAGCGGCTTGATTGTCGCAGTACAATGATGTGGGCCGTGGCTGGGGAACTCCCAGATCAGTGAGTAACCATCGAAGCCAAAGAATTTCACTGACGGTACTAGCCATGGACCGATACTCTGCCTCTGCCGAAGAACGAGCAACAACTGACTGTTTCTTCGTGCGCCAAGAAATGGGCGCGTTCCCAAGACGAATGCAGAAACCGGTGGTAGAACGACGAGTAGTGGGGCATCCACCCCAATCTGCATCACAAAAGGCAACCAGGTCAAGAGAACCATCAGCCGGATAAAACAAACCATGACCTGGGGATTGCTTGAGGTAGCGCTGGATACGGGTGGCAGCAGCGACATGAGCCTCAGTCGGCGAATGTACAGCCTGACTTAACAAGTTAACAGAATAAGCGATGTCAGGCCGAGTGACTGTGAGATACAGCAAGCGACCGACCAGTCTACGGAAGGCGGAAGGATTCTCAGCAGGAGGAGACTCAGAACGACCAAGCTGATGATTTTGCTCAACCGGTGACTGACATGGGCGACTAGCCTGAAGACCTAAATCTGCAAGAATATCGAGAACATACTTGCGCTGGTTAAGAACAACGCCTTTTGGTGACCGCGCGACTTCGATACCGAGGAAGTACTTCAGGGGGCCCAAATCTTTGATTGTGAATCGATCATGTAAGAAGGTCTTGACAGTCTGGATAAAAGTCATATCGTTCCCTGCCAAAATTACATCATCAACATATATTAAGGCAAAAACAATAATTGTACCTTGCCTATAGATAAAGAGAGAATGATCGGCACGACTCTGGCGAAAACCAAGCTCAAGAAGTGCTGCCGAGAATTTCTGATACCAATTTCGTGATGCTTGACGAAGACCGTAGATAGACTTGTGAAGACGACATACTCGCCTATCACCAGGTGCTGCGAAACCCTGGGGAATTTCCATATATACCTCTTCTTGCAAATCCCCATGGAGAAATGCATTGTTAACGTCGAGTTGATGTAGAAACCACCCCTGACTGACAGCAACCGCAATGAGACAACGAACAGTGACTAACTTTGCAACGGGAGAGAAAGTATCATGATAGTCAATCCCTTCAACCTGTGTAAAACCCTTGGCGACGAGCCTGGCCTTATACCTTTCCACTGAACCGTCGGGTTTATATTTGATTTTATAAACCCATTTCGAAGCAATCGCTTTCTTACCAGGTGGAAGATAAACCAAGCTCCAAGTATGATTAGCTTCGAGTGCCGAAATCTCAACCCTCATGGCCAGGCGCCAATGTTCATGTTTAACAGCTTGATAGAAGTACTGGGGCTCGGCTTCAGATGAGATCTTGCTCAAGTATGCCTTATGTGAGGATGACAGTCGATGATAGCTCACATAATTGCTGATGGGGAACCGAACATCAGCAGAAGAGGACGAGGGAAGCTCCACGTCAAAACCAGCATATCGGGCAGGGAGCTGTCCCTTTGTGCTGCGCTGGCTTTTACGAGGAGGCTGCTGCAAAGCTGGACTTGGAGCGGCCGAATGAGGATCGGGTGATTCGGCGGGCTGCAGCGCGGGAGACGTGGAGGTTTCGCCTAGAATATTAGGCTGGGACGTGGGTGAAATGTCCTCCTAGGGAGGTGCTTCACCTGTTGACATTTCTTGTGTAGGCTGAGGTGAGGAGGAAGGCTCCTCTTGTGAAAATGTAACAGGAGATACATCATCCAAGGGATTGCTACACGTTGCATGCATGGGCACGTGAGGTGATGAACCATGGGGTATATCACGATAGGGGTAGACTTCTTCAAGAAAAACACAGTCCCGTGACGTATAAATGATTTTGGTGTGTAAATCATACACACGATATCCACGTTGGGTTGCGGGATAGCCTAGGAAGATTCCTGCTCTACCGCGTTCATCAAATTTTCGCAAAGGATGCGTATTTTTGGCATAAACCAAGCACCCAAAACTGCGAAGGTGGGAGTACTTCGGCTGCTGCCCCAAAAGTCTCTCGTATGGTGACTGGTTGTCAATGGAGACAAGTGGCAACCGATTTATGAGGTATGCTGCCGTCAGTATACTCTCTCCCCAAAACCGAGTTGGTAATCCTGCATGAAACAGTAACGCCCGAGAAATGTCAAGGAGGTGTCGGTGCTTTCGCTCAACCACGCCATTCTGTTGAGGCGTGTCGGTGCAAGAGGTTTGCAATATGACCCCTGCTTCTTCATAATAGTCACGAAGAGAAGTTGTATTGAACTCCGGTCCATTATCGGCCTGAATTCGGCGTACCTGCCGCTGATATTGAGTGGTGACCTGCTTGCAGAATAAAAGCAGATATCGAGAAACCTCCGACTTAAAACGCACTAGATATACCCACACACAACGGCTGTAGTCATCAACAATTGTGAGGAAATAATGTGCACCAGTAAAAGAAGCCTGCTTATAAGGACCCCAAACGTCAACATGGATCAATTCAAAACATGATGTAGTCTTGATAGAACTGGCCGAAAATGGAAGTCTACTTTGTTTTGCACGAAGACAAGAAACACACGGGTCCTTATTCAAAACAATGGTGCTAGAAATAAAAGGCTCTAAAAGTGACAACTTTGCCGACTACGGGTGCCCAAGCCGTGAGTGCCACTTTGCTATCTCCTGTACTGCCTGCTTAGCTGAGAGTGCTACTGGGTGCTGCTGATCTAACAATTGCAGGTGGTACAGCCCGTCAACCTGTCTACTCATCCCAATCAGCTTCCTGGAGCGTAAGTCCTGAAGGATACATAAATTTCCGACAAAGATGAAGGCGATCAATAGATCAGCTGTAAGACGACTAACTGATAATAAGTTGCATTGAAAATCGGGGACATGCAACACACGATTAAGAATAAGACCATTTCCCAATTTTGCCTTTCCAATCCCTTTGACCGGAACTCCTTTTCCATTAGGAATTCGTACCTGTAAATTCTCACCGAATTCCAACTCACCAAGCAACAAGGAAGGATCGGTAACTATATGTTCATTGCAACCAGAATCTATAACCCAAGTACGATGATCAGCAAGAATATTACCTGCCATGTTAGACACTGGACTAGCTGCAGGTTCGGAACTGAGTAGTGATTTTAGCTGCTGGATTTGAGCTGCGGTGAGACCCAAGAGGGTTCCTTCGGCAGACTCGACTTGTGCTGCTCGCGGATTCCCTGATCGTCCTCCGCGACCTCTACCCCGGCGACCCCTGCCTCCTCGTCCAGATTCCTGAGATGGCCATCCTATTATTTCATAGCACGACTCTTTTAAGTGACCAATTTTCTGGCAGTGGGTGCAACGCGGGCGGCCTTCAGCAGTGCGATCGGACGGGGCAAGACGCTCCCCCTGAGTGGTAGAGTGCTGATCGCCATGCACCTGCAAAGCCGCGGCCTCAATTACGGGACGGCGAGTGTTGTTGATGCTTCTTTGCTGTTCATCGTTGATCACCATCTGAAAAGCCTCGCCAAGAGTGGGTGTAGGCTTCATAGAAAGAACTTGAGTTCTGACCGTAGTGAAAACATCATCTAGGCCAATGAGAAAGTCAAACAGATGCCCGCTATCTTGTGTGTCTCGCATTCTCTTCTCAATCTCACAAGTACAGCCTCCGCAAGTGCACTTTGGAGGCGGGGCAATTGCTTGTATTTCATCCCAAAGACTACGCAGCTTTGGGAAGAAGCTTGAGACGCTAGCCTTCTCTTGCTGCAACAAGGCAATGGTCCCTCTAAGTTGAT